ACTCGTCATATACCACAGGGTATATTGACTTACAACCAGTTCTCTGCCCTCCCTCCTCCCGCGACCCGACCTCCACCGCTGGCCACTGGTACGGACTCCCACTCACCGCTGGCCGCTGGTACGGACTCCCGCTCACCGCTGGCCACTGGTCGGACCTCCACTCACCGCTGGCCGCTGGTACGGATCCTGTCATTCCGTCACTGCCATCGCCGAATCGAGGGGCGACCAGCTCGCTCGGTCGTTCCTCGCTCCACATAAACGGGGGCAGACACTCGGCCGAGCGACTGAAGGCTAACGAACAGAGCACCTGGCTGAGCTGCTTCCGGCACTGGGCGGAGTGGGTTCTGCCGGCATAAGGGTCCCACCCGACTCCGAGGGCGGTCATAGCTGACCAAACGGTCATACCTGACACGCAGTGGCTTATTCTGTGTTTCTTATCCTACAAAGAAAATTAGGCACGTGAAATAAGTTCACTGAGAAAATGTTGGACGAGTATGCATACCTACCATATTTTTCTTATGTGACAAAATGATTATTTATATGATAAACGCACCGTGCCCCCTTTGATTTTGGCATTTTAACATTAGCCCTATGGGCGTTGCATGGAGAGAATGGGACCAAAAGTCGGCAGTGCCCCCCCCCCTTAATTGAAGGTGTTCCGCCGCTACTGATGATAAATAAAATAGTTCTTATCATTTGTTGGGGCATATAAGCAGCTCCAACATAATAGAACATTTTAAACGGCGATCACTATTAAATATCTAGGTTTCGGTCAGATATTTACCTCCCAACGCAGTGCGAGTGATAATGGCGAGATTTTGTGGATTTTTATTACATTTCATTTACAAAATGTGGTTAAATGTCGTGGGCGGACCTTATCGGAAGGAAGGAACAATGCAATCATCGCCATAAATTGACGGGGTCGTAAAGTATGCGCACATGGACGGAAGTTGTGACCATTAAACTGTTAAATTTACGAGCGGCACCAACTACTCCGAATGTAAAGAAATTCCTAAGCCATGCTTTCTATGAAACAGACTGGAGATGTCAGGGGTTGCGGTCGGAGCTGACAGGGGTTGCGGTCGGAGCTGACAGGTTCGCCCTACGGGTGTTGCTGCCTCACGTGGCCAGGATGAAGGCAGCCCTCTGCCGGAGCTGGTCCGGGTCATCGACCTGACCCGAGCAGACGCCGTGGTAGCCGGCGGCCGCGGCGGCCTGCCGATCTCTGGGGCAGCGGAGACCGAACACCAGGTCCGCCGGCTGCAGCCGCTCCTCCACAGTTACCGCCGGGTAGTTCCTGACACCGGCCTCCAGCAGCGACCGGTACTGGAGGTGCACCACCTGAGGAGGGTACAGGTACCAATACGGAACGGCGCTGAATGGGGACCGCCTCGCGGGGCAGATAAGGTGGCGCAGGAAGCTAAATGACCCGGAGCCAGATAACACTTTGACTTATTTTGCACTGCAGCTGAACAGTCACAAACTAAACAAAAACGCAATAGGGAAGACAAAACTAAAAGGATAAGTTATTTCACAACCAGAACCATTTTACAAGTGCTTTCTTTCATGTTATGGAACTCATGTTTCAAAGACATTGTACTTACTTAGCTAGCGAACTTAATAATACAATTGGCAACAGAAAAACACCCTGGTTGTATGTACATACACAACGTACAGCATATGGCCAAGTTACTAATTGGGCTGCTCCGTGACAGACATTACTGTCAAACGGAGATAGCACGAAAACACTCACCGCTGCATTGGAGTGATTGATGTCTTCGAAACAGCTCACCATCAGCAAGATTCGCTGGAGTGTAGAGCACAATAGTGAGAACAATATGAATGCAAGTACTGGGTTGCTTGCTTGATGGGTTGACCAAAAACAGAAATAATAATTATGGCACAATATCGTGAGGCGCAGATCAAAGCTGACAATACATTTCGTTGACCGAGTAAGCGGTTTGTACATTCAGAATATTTCAAAAACATCTTACCTTCCTCCGGCCGGGGGCGGGGTCCCGTCCGCAGAATTCGTTGCTGAAGCGGAACGCGCAGGCCCGGTGTCCCAGACAGCGCTGAAGGGTGGGGTACGGGTCGGCTGACCGGTCACCGCTCTCAGGGGGCTCAGACAGCCGGTACACCACCCACGGTGGCGCGGAGTCGGGCTCCGGTGCCGGCGGTGTCAGCCGGTACTTCAGCTGCAGTGCAGGACAGAATGCACACGGGTTTAGAGTGCAGGGGCTGAATGGCGAATTTGCAAGGCCATATGCATAAGTATTTGTGAATGGGCAAAACAGAAAGGTCACATAATGGTATCCTTTTCTACAGATCATTTAGAGAAGCATTTGGCCTACCATCACAATTCCCCAGGTCATTCAGATAAGTATTAGACCGACTACGACAAGTAACGTTATATGCGAGGTCAAGCCCTGTAACCATCGGTCCGGGGAATGTGATAAAATTACATCCATCTGAGTTCAAATTGTAGCAAGAGAAGGTAACTAAATACTTATAAAAGATACGATCAGAGCACTTCTACTTCACGCATTAACTGATTCATCGCATGTCAACATGCCTCGCTAGCTAAAACACACGGTTGGCATATTATTCCGTAATCTGTGAACTGTTCATGCGTATCACAACCTGTGTCCCGAATTGTCAAAAGGCTAAGCTCTTGAGCCAAATTACATCAGCGTATCACGCAAATGCCAGCTATGTCAGAAACCCTTCAGCAGCAGCCACCATAATTTGAAGAACGGCTTAAATCTAACATTCCAAGAATCCCATGGCTGTTTCACACTAACGTGACCGTTGACTTGAATTCCAAATCCCCAGCTCCCTCACCCTTAATTTCGCTACTAAAATAATAAAAAATGAAATACAGGACGTGGGACAGCATTACATTTGCTTAAGTGTAGCGAGACAAGACATTCATTTGCCAATAGCTGTTCATTTAGTCTGTGGTATCAACACTGCGCCGGCAGTATAACGATTTACCGTCGATTTCACCACTGCCCTAGAACGCTGCCCGATTTCATCCCTGTCCTAGAAAGTTGTTCAGCTCCAGTCCCCATGCCTGGACTCCTGCCGACCCGCCGCGCACGGGAGCCATGCGGCACAGTCTACCTCCAACAGAACCAACCGATCACAGCAGCGCGGTGGGAGAACGAAACAGCTATCACTACCGACGGGGCCACAGCACATATCCATCGAGCATTTGGTAAATCCCCATCGCTCTCGCCGCAGTGCAGAGCTGGAGCATTCTCACCTCACCGATCACGGTCGTACTCGTGCAAGTGATCATCATGTGCGGCTTCTGTTCAAGTAGCTCAAACTGTCGTCGCAGCGGCGCTCCGGGCTCGTAAAAGGAGTAGTCGTCCAGCTCAGACCGGACTATCATCAGGAGCGTCCACATAACCAGCGGCAGCAGCATGGCTTCCAGCGGACACGGCGGACACGCGGACACAGACACACTGATACTAGTGAGCAGCACGGCGGGGTCCACAGCTGACTGTGGCCAGGCGCGGGGACGGACAGCCACACTCGGTCGGTCAGCAGGCGAAACGGCTCGGTACGGCTGGCCCACGCGGACCCCATCGATTGCACCTGTGGTGTATGGACATGGGCGCCGTCCCCACCCACCCCTCGCCAGGGGTCAATACGGACAGGCGACGTCACCTGCGGCCACGCGACCCACTTCCAGGAAGGGCCACGACCTACCTACCTAAGCGAAACAATTAATGGCCGATGTGCTGATGTAATGCTGATTGTGCAAACGGGTCAGCAGTCAGCGATGATGTCTAGATGAGGATTTGCTGTGTAGTGTAGGTATATGTGTTGAGGTCCCGTCGATATGTTTGAGGCCTTCCTCCAGCCGCGCGGTCTCGACGCTTGAGTGATCGGCCGGCCGTTTTGGAGGTAGTCTGTGCCGCATGACTCCCGAGAGCGGCGGGCCGGCGTCAGCCCAGGCAAGGACTGGAGCTAAAGTGATACCGTTTCATAACAAACGAACCTTACCAGCCCATCCCTTCTTCTGCTCTAAAAAATACGAGTATCCACTTTTTACTATTCTGTCGGTGCTGTAACTTACAAATAACTTCACAAAGATTTCTGAAACTCATCCTCCATCTGAACGGTTGTATACGAAAATATTTTAAATGAGCTGCTGTTTAGTTCATGATGTCAAAGAACAAATTGATCAAAAATACGGATTTCGGACTTGTTTGCATGCTTGAAAGCTTACCTTCAGTATGTATTTAGACCACTAAAAGGTCAACAAGCAGCCTAAGGAATTCCATCCCCGATCTCTTAGCAGAATTAACTGAGCCGTGCAGCTGTGCCTGGCGATACAAAGGGAGGCAGAGTAGCCTCTCTCCTCTCTCTGTCCCCGGTCCTCCGTTAATGGCGCTGTTTGTCGGGCCGGCCGCGATGATGGTCGATTTTACCGCCGGCGGCGGTCCGAATCACGGCCTCACGCCGCGCTGCATATCAATGACTGCGTCGAACAGCTGCCTGTGAGCACCTGGTGCCCTCCAGACGGCTACCAGACAGCCTCAGAGCCGACCTACTGGCGATACCCTGCTCATCAGTAGCCGCTGGTGTGTCACTGGGGTTTGCTGGGATTAATGAGAGTGATTAGTGTCGCGGATCGGCTGGCTTTCCCCGCCGCAGTGCAGCAGTCGAGGCTGTCGAGGCTGGGGATGATCAGGTTTCTAAGACATGCCATTGATGGGATGATCGAACAGCTGAGCGGTGAACACGCTTCTCAGGTGACGGGAAGGAGGAGAGGGCATAAAGACGAGTGCGCCTACCCACAGACGGCAGCGTAATGTTATACAGGGAGCGCTATGATTATCGAGTGGAAAGATACGCACCATGAATGACGTAAACTAGTGGATGACTGGCTGTCATATGTGCCTACTGAGTTGGCGTCAATTGATCCAACGATCAATGTTATAACAGATCGACTCAGTGCGTGTTGTCACGTCCTGTCGGGCGATTAAACGAATGGGGTTCCGATGATGATACATACGTGCTGACTGGCTGTGCCAATGCTGTGACAAAGCTCGCTCTGCGTAACTGCATTTGACAGAATCGTTTTGCTGTGGTGGCCTTCAGCTGGAAGCGGTCTAATTGTCGAGTCGGGCTCCGCTCGAGTGAGACAGCGCTCCAGCTCGGCTCGCGGACGCAGCGCCGCGCCGCTCCGGTCTGTTTATCAAATTGAATTTCGGTAGCCGGGGCACGTCGGCCTTTCATTCTGCGCGACGACCGCCCACTGGCACCGAGGCCGGGCGGCGACCCCGTCAGTACGTACAAACGCACCCGCCCCTGTCCCCACCCCGCCGTCCCCACCCCGCCGCCGAACGGGGCTCAATCAAATGGCGACGTCAGGTCCACTGTGGACAGTGCTAGTGTGGACATTGCTGGCCAGTGTGTATTGATTCACCTTGCCATGCTTCTGTTTTCTATGTCAATATTGCTTTATAACATAAATTTGTCTTTGTATCCGCTTCTAAACAAGAAATGCAGCTAGGTTCAACTACTTTTAGTAATTGTTGATTATCGTGTAACTCTTTTGGGGATTTATGGACACACTTTATGTTTTATACACGGAGAAAAATATTTACTCCCCGAAGGATTTACAAACACCTTATTTCGGAAACTCCTTTTATGGGTGTTCATATACCACTAACTTTGGAGTATTCCATGACGAGACAGAGTAATCTAAGTATCTCACTTGATGTACCAGAGTAAATGAAGGAGCCTGGGAGTTCTCCTACTCATCATGCATAACTGTTTGGAGTATTGAAACCCGGTAAGATGGAGTTTAATGGATAAAACTCCAAAACGAGGCGAAAATCTACTCCAATATAGGTACTGTGTTTGGGACGTCAGAGCCCCACCTAGCGGAGTAAATATTTTTCTCCGTGTAGGCATACATGTGGGTTTCGAAGGCATATAGCTAACACATTATCCATCTTCAGCAACTTATTCATCCCCTAATTCACTCAAACGATTAATCAAGCTCTATTGTTACTATATTTTTATCCTTCACGCATGAAAAATGGCGAGCTGAAGTTTTTCTTTTTAATGAGGCATCCAAACTGCGGCTCATCAGTCTCAGCTGAGTTGCCAGAGACCACGAGGAAAAAACAAAAAAGTTTTGCAGCGGAGCCTTCTAACAAACATACCTTCAATCGCAACTTTAGGAATATGGAACGATAAATCGAGAGAAGGCAGGAATGAAAACGTTCTATAAGATAAAACATTACAGCCACAAAGCAATTGGCAGATAAAAAAGAACATCGCGAACAGCCTCTTATGTGGACCAGTAGATGAACATTGAGCAATATTAGCCATTAGCAGACTGGACCCAGACCCGTCTGGACCGTCTGGACATTTCTAGAACCAGTCAGACCCGGTCTAAGTTGGAGTCGGAACCAGTTGGACTTGTTCCCCATAAGTCGATGGATACAAACTATTTGTATAGGCATCATTAGTTGCATCAAGTAAAACGGCCTTTTTTCCAACTGGGAATACTTACGAGATCGAGTTACAGTGTGCAATGGAGCATAACATTACAAATGTTTTCTTTCCATTCATTTCATATTTTGCAATCAGGTTTAGAATGTAAGAAGTACCTAGGGTTTATGGTAGGACCCGGTTGGACCCGTCAGTACTACTTTCGAGGACCCGGTCCGGACCCATATGGGTCCAGACCGGTTCTATGGACTGGGTCCTCTGGTCCACATTTTGCCACCACTGGCAGATTAGCAACGATTTCACCGAAATCGGCCTTTTATCCACCAATGACAAAAGCATATCACTCATCTCAACGTTTGAATGCAAGCTGGACACTTAGAAACGACCGAAACAGCCGAAGATAAGTCGGGAATCAGATGAAATTTGAAAATAGTCAAACCAGATAGATGCCATATCGAATCATTGAAAAACATATTCAGGGGAAGAGCCAGGTTGCATCTCGTGACCTCCCTTTATATGCACACGCAGAGAGAACACCGCGCCGACGGACGACGACACGCGTGTCCAAAAGTCAATCAAAGACTGTTTGGTCACGATCAAAACTGGCCAACGACTGAAACTTGAATTTGCCCCCCCCCCCCAACGACACTGATCACACACTGATCACGCACTGATCACTAATCACTGATTACTGACCACACATGCCTTCCAATCCAACAGACTATGTTTTCAGACCACTTCTGCCGGGCTCTTCTGCAATTTCAAACGTCCTATACAAACATTACGGCATATGTTTTTCAGTGTGATCACGCCGATGGATCGTGACTGTCCCAGGGACGGTGACCCACGCGGTCAGCCCGACTCTGCCAGTCACCTCCGGTCGCCAGTCACGCCTGGGAAACCACCAGCCGGCGCGCGACATCTCAGCACGGCTGGGCGCATACAACGTCAACGCTGTCGCTGGCGCATTCATTTTTTTCGAAGCAGCTTATCATGCAAGTCTTTGATATGTTTATACAAAATATGACATTTATAGGTGCTTTACCGTTGCATGAGTATTCCGTTTGTGCCCTGGGATTAGAGTACATATAGCACAGACCAAAAATTAATTCATTTGTTCCCCTTCCCCAACATCTCGTTTAAAAACAAGCAAGACTATGTCAGCTTTTCTACGATGTATGTTGTCATTTGACGCGAGCATTGCGGCATTTGATCAACCATGACTAGCACTGTTTGCTGAGTGCACTTACGTACACAGAACCACACATTTGTGACGGCAAACCTATCTCACAAGGCCGCGACACCTGCTGTGTAAACACGCTGCCCAAAAACGGCGTGTCACTCTGAGAGGACGCGAGCAGGGCGTGACAGGAACACCCCAGCTGGGGGGGGGGGTCGACGGAACCCCCCCCCCCTCGGGCTGTGGGAGGTGGACAGGTGCGAATTTGTCCGCGGCGCTACAGCAACTGGCGCCGCTGCGCCGCCGGCCTATATAACTCGGCAGTCTTCCCACCACCGTCTATTAGAGCAGGTCCTGTCCGTGTCAGTCTGTCCGCACCTCTGACCCTCCACCATGGCTCCGCTGCTGCTGCTCCTGCTCGCGCTGAGCTCTCTGACTGCCGCGCTGCCCGCCGAGCCGGCGCCGCTGGCTCTCGGCGTCTACTACGAGGCGCTGTGCCCCGACTCGCGTGACTTTGTGGTCGACCAGCTGAATACCACCTATAGCCGGGTGCCGGAGATCATCACGCCGATTCTCGTGCCCTGGGGCAAGGCGTCGGTGGATGCCGACGGCGTCATCTCGTGCCAGCACGGTGACGAGGAGTGCTGGGGCAACCGGCTGCTGGCCTGCGTGGCCGACGCCGTCAGCGCGGAGGCTGTCCGCGTGGGGGTCATCTCCTGCCTGATGGACAAGCAGCGCTCGCTGCACCGCGACGGACCGGCCTGTGTGGCGGCGGCGGGTCTGGACTGGGAGGCGCAGACCGGCTGCGCGGCCGGTGACCAGTCGTACCAGCAGGCGCTGCAGTTCGG